ATGGCAGGGGGATCTCCGAGAGGCCTCCCATGGCAGTGGGGAAGGCATCCAGAGGTCCCCCACCGGCGGCACCACCGCTGCTGCGAGCCATGCCATGCCGGGCGATCCTGGCCATGTTCAGACTCCTGGACCAGTGGGGGAAGTCCAGGAGTCTGAGCATGGATGGATCATCTGGTGCGGCATGGTTCCCAGCAGCGGTGGCGGTGGCGGTGGACCTCCGGATACCTTCCAGGACTTCTCCGCCTCCATGGGAGGCATCTCAGAGGTCCCCCCCGCTGGCAATAGTGCCTCCAAAGCACTATTGGCAGTGAGGGGGGACCTCCGGATGCCTCCCATGGTGGCAGAGAAGCCCTGGAAGGCATCTGGAGGCACGACCTGTGGCCTACGGACTAGAAGGGGGAAGCCCCCCCCCGCTGGTAATAGTGCCTCCAAAGCACTGTTGGCAGTGAGGGGGGACCTCTGGATGCCTCCCATGGTGGCAGAGAAGCCCTGGAAGGCATCTGGAGGCACGACCTGCGACCGACGGACTAGAAGGGGGAAGCAGGGGAAGCGCCAAATTTGAATTTGCCGCTTTCCCCACCTCCCCCTTCTGGTCCGTAGGTCTATTCTCCAGCCACAAGTCAAACTGAAACTTTGCGGCCGGAGAAGTCCGTAGGTCGAAAAGTTCATAAGTGGAGCTGTATGTAAGTAAGGAGATAATAGAAGTGCCAGGTTTAGAGTTCATAAGTGGAGCCGTATGTAAGTCGAAACTCCACTATATGACTATTTTCATACAGATAGGTATGGAAACTATTGCTCTGAACATGCTAAGCAACAGAGGTTAAAATCAAAATGAAATGTAACTTTAAAAACTAGGGCCAAAATAACAGGGTGGGATGGGGTAAGGAGATAATAGAAGTGCCAGGTTTATGGAAAGTGATACTAAAATAATGCTGAGATCAACACTGAAGGTGTGACCACATGTGGAAATAAATGGCAACTTGAGCCACTTGTGGAGCGGTCCAGTGGAATCTATTTCTCAGCAGTCACAAAACGTACAGGGAAATGTGTTGACCCAATCTGTGTCAAAGCTGAACCTTTTTGGTTCAGTTGTAGGGCTACAACTTTTTGAGGCTGTGCTGGAGCGATTCCCCAGCCAATGGACACGTGACTTTCAGGCACACATACAGTATTTACAGACATCTGATTGCAACCAGACACTCAGTTTTAAAAAGCAAGATATGCAAAGAGTGAGGAAGGATAAGGTGGATTGAGGAAAATAGGATGGAGGTTGGATACCGATGCAAAGAGCAAAGGAGAAGGGATAAAGAGTAAAATGTCCTACATGGCACATTCAGATATACATACATTTAATAGGTTATTACTCAGATAGAGAAATTAAGAAGAAAAATGTCTGGAAGTAAAGAGACAAAGACACAGACTAATTTCAAAAGTCAACAAAACTTCAGAAATCTTCAAGAATTCCACATGCATAATGCTGGGAGGGGCAGCCCACAAACAGAAATCTGCAGACCCCTAGGTTTTGCTCCCCCTAGGGTTGTTTACCTCTGATGCTGACATAGTGCTTCCTGGGACTCATAGTTCTTCAGGAATCTCCATCTAATGGTAGCAAGATTACAACTTCCACCATTGTCTATGCTCAGGACAGTCTGAACCCCACTGATCAGACAACCACCCCTACTGTCACATGACTGAACATTGGGGGCCAGGTCTTCCTAAATGTGGAGTATGCTGGGATTTGTAGTCTTGCTGCCCATTAGGCTCTATAGAGGGCATCTCCCAAAGAACTATGACAAGCACACACAACCTAGAAGGAATC